CAGACAAACATACAGATAGCTGGTCCGGGTCTGGAAAACATTGAGATCACTGGCTGAGATCTCCACATGTCTATGAGATCCATCAGTGACAAATGGCATGTATTCAGATATCCAGGGATATCATGTATTCTCATCATGGTCTGTAAGCTTGGTAAAATCCAGACTAACATACAATTAGCTGATCCGGGTCTGGAAAACATTGCGATCACTGGCTGAGATCTCCACATGTCTATGAGATCCATCAATGACAAATGGCATGTATACAACATGTCTCAGGGATATCCAGGGATATCATGTATTCCCATCATGGTCTGTAAGCTTGGTAAAATCCAGACAAACATACAGGTAACTGGTCTGGAAAACATTGAGATCACTGGCTGAGATCTCCACATGTCTATGAGATCCATCAATGACAAATGGCATGTATATAACATGTCTCAGGGATATCCAGGGATATCACGTATTCCCATCATGGTCTGTAAACTTGGTAAAATCCAGACTAACATACAGGTAACTGTTCCGAGTCTGTAAAACATTAAGATCACTGGCTGAGATCTCCACATGTCTATGAGATCCATCAATGACAAATGGCATGTATACAACATGTCTCAGGGATATCCAGGGATATCATGTATTCCCATCATGGTCTGTAAGCTTGGTAAAATCCAGACAAACATACAGGTAGCTGGTCCGAGTCTGGAAAACATTGAGATCACTGACGGAATGTAGAGCAGCACAGGTTACGCAGAAATGTAAGTATGGAGAACTTAGAGGTGTAAGGACTTTCCTTTCAATGACACCATGAAGTCATCGTTATCAGCAAAAGTTTGGAAGTTAGACGGGGGCATTACATGATGCAGAAGTAATGTTGGTAATATGGTAAACAATATCGATATTCAAAGTCTTAACCCTTCTTTGAGGTTCCAGTTATGCAAATAATTGCCTTCTAAATTCAGGGATATCACCTGTGACAATGTCTTCCACAATGCCATGAGCTTATTGAGGTTATAGCTTGAGGTTTCTCTATTTGGAAATGTTGTCCAATGCGTCTATACAGAAGAACATAATGGGATTCATTATTTATAACCGGATTTTCCAAATCTATGCCAAAATATTTGGTTTACAAGAATTCCAAATTTTCTAGCCCTACTATTTCAACTTCCAATTTGTAATTCCACCACAGATGGAGTACACATGTACATAAATTCTACTATAGAAAGTGATAAGAAGTGAACCGTTCAGCCCATCTAGTCTGCCCAGTTTTCTATATACTCTCATTAGTCCCTGGCCTTATCTTATTGCTAACATAGCCTCATGTTAACCTCTACCACTCCAGCTGGAAGGCTATTCCATGCATCCACTACCCTCTCTGCAAAGTAATAATTCCTGATTTTATTTTTAAACCTTTTCCCCTCTAATTTAAGACTATGTCCTCTTGTTGTGGTAGTTTTTCTTCTTTTAAATACTATGTGTTTGAGTGTGTAGAATCCATGTGATTGTACAAGTGAATTTGTCTACATAGGGGTCAGTTTATAAACGGTGAATGCAATGAAATAATGTAGACTTCAGTGAGATTTCCTAGACTAACTTGCAGAAGGGTAAATGTACAGATCCAGTGTCATACCCCTTTTGTACATCCTTCCGCTAGTGAGAATAATAGATGCAAGAGAGATTCCGACAATCTCCTGCCACAACTTTACCAACCACGAGATTTTCCACGCGTCAATTTGAAGGGTTAGTGGCAGTCATAAAAAGTGTCGAATCCCTGTCGCTACTTGTGAAATTTGGCAGACGTTAGAGAGCCACTACTTGCCAATGGTAGTGACAGTCATTTAGAAAGAAGATTCTGACCAAAGGTCCAAATATACAAAACAAAAGTTCTGCACTCAAACTCCCACTACTCCTGGATGGCAGCAATGAATGTAGTACATATCAGATCTAATACATACAATAAAAAACAGAAACAAAGTTACTTGTGCACTATCCCAAATCACTATGCACATTTAAATAACTGGAGGTTTTGGTGAGTGATACTAATAAACCTCCAGTTGTGTAAATGTGCATAGTGACTGAGATAGTGTGCAAGTAACTCTTTTCTTTGGTTTAGATATCAAGATCCACCAGCTATACACCTGCTTAGTCTATCTCGTGAATTATAACCATCATTAAAAATCTGTAATAAATTGAAGGGACAGTGACAAATGTGTTTTTTGTTTTGCTGTAGTGGCAGTATACGTGAATGCAAGAAAGATTTTCAGTGTACTGCAGTGTGTTGAAAACATTAACTCAGTGAGAATGTATGTGTATATTTGTATGTATTGTAACTGTGTGAATGTATGTGTATATTTGTATGTATTGTAACTGTGTGGATGTTTAGGTATATTTGTATGTTTTGTCACTGTGTGAATGTATGAATATATTTGTATGTATTGTAACTGTGTAAATGTATGTGTATATTTGTATGCAATGTAAATGTGTGAATGTACGGGTATACAGGGAGTGCAGAATTATTAGGCAAGTTGTATTTTTGAGGATTAATTTTATTATTGAACAACAACCATGTTCTCAATGAACCCAAAAAACTCATTAATATCAAAGCTGAATATTTTTGGAAGTAGTTTTTAGTTTGTTTTTAGTTATAGCTATGTTAGGGGGATATCTGTGTGTGCAGGTGACTATTACTGTGCATAATTATTAGGCAACTTAACAAAAAACAAATATATACCCATTTCAATTATTTATTATTACCAGTGAAACCAATATAACATCTCAACATTCACAAATATACATTTCTGACATTCAAAAACAAAACAAAAACAAATCAGTGACCAATATAGCCACCTTTCTTTGCAAGGACACTCAAAAGCCTGCCATCCATGGATTCTGTCAGTGTTTTGATCTGTTCACCATCAACATTGCGTGCAGCAGCAACCACAGCCTCCCAGACACTGTTCAGAGAGGTGTACTGTTTTCCCTCCTTGTAAATCTCACATTTGATGATGGACCACAGGTTCTCAATGGGGTTCAGATCAGGTGAACAAGGAGGCCATGTCATTAGATTTTCTTCTTTTATACCCTTTCTTGCCAGCCACGCTGTGGAGTACTTGGACGCGTGTGATGGAGCATTGTCCTGCATGAAAATCATGTTTTTCTTGAAGGATGCAGACTTCTTCCTGTACCACTGCTTGAAGAAGGTGTCTTCCAGGAACTGGCAGTAGGACTGGGAGTTGAGCTTGACTCCATCCTCAACCCGAAAAGGCCCCACAAGCTCATCTTTGATGATACCAGCCCAAACCAGTACTCCACCTCCACCTTGCTGGCGTCTGAGTCGGACTGGAGCTCTCTGCCCTTTACCAATCCAGCCACGGGCCCATCCATCTGGCCCATCAAGACTCACTCTCATTTCATCAGTCCATAAAACCTTAGAAAAATCAGTCTTGAGATATTTCTTGGCCCAGTCTTGACGTTTCAGCTTGTGTGTCTTGTTCAGTGGTGGTCGTCTTTCAGCCTTTCTTACCTTGGCCATGTCTCTGAGTATTGCACACCTTGTGCTTTTGGGCACTCCAGTGATGTTGCAGCTCTGAAATATGGCCAAACTGGTGGCAAGTGGCATCGTGGCAGCTGCACGCTTGACTTTTCTCAGTTCATGGGCAGTTATTTTGCGCCTTGGTTTTTCCACACGCTTCTTGCGACCCTGTTGACTATTTTGAATGAAACGCTTGATTGTTCGATGATCACGCTTCAGAAGCTTTGCAATTTTAAGAGTGCTGCATCCCTCTGCAAGATATCTCACTATTTTTGACTTTTCTGAGCCTGTCAAGTTCTTCTTTTGACCCATTTTGCCAAAGGAAAGGAAGTTGCCTAATAATTATGCACACCTGATATAGGGTGTTGATGTCATTAGACCACACCCCTTCTCATTACAGAGATGCACATCACCTAATATGCTTAATTGGTAGTAGGCTTTCGAGCCTATACAGCTTGGAGTAAGACAACATGCATAAAGAGGATGATGTGGTCAAAATACTCATTTGCCTAATAATTCTGCACTCCCTGTATTTGTATGTAGAGTGTGGGTATGTGAATGCAGACGTTTATTTGTGTGTAGTGTCTGCATGTCTTAATGCAAAAGCATATGTGTTTAGTGTTAGTGTGTGTAATGAGGGGAATATTCATTTTTAATTCAGTTTTAGTGAATACAAAGTTCTGCTTGTGAATAGTGCAAGTGTGAGCATGTGTCTGTGTGTAGTGAACCAATGAAGGTGTAAATCTGTGTCCAGTGCTGGTATTCTGGAGAGATACTCTCTGTCCAACACAGTTTGTCATTGCCTTAATCTCACTCCACTCCCCAGGTGTGTCTGCCACAACCCCCCACCTTCAGTTTGTGTCTGTCTCTATCCTCTTCAGTTATTTTATGTCTCTATACTCCTCTGTTTGTGCTGCCTCTATCGTCTTCAGTTATTTTATGTCTCTTTATTCCTCTGTTTGTGCTGCCTCTATCGTCTTCAGTTATTTTATGTCTCTATACTCCTCTGTTTGTGCTGCCTCTATCGTCTTCAGTTTTTGTATGTCTCTGTACTATGAGTATCACTCCAATTTGTTTTTGCCCCTCTCCTCCTACTTTGTGACTGCCCAGGTTCTCTCCCCCCATTAATTCCAATTCCCCCATGTTTTATGTTTCTTTACGTGGACCCCAGTGATGTTTAGAATATGAGGTAGTTGCTTCTTGTGCTATATCTGCCGTGGTAGCCACCATCATATTGCCCATGACAGCAGAGTGGGTAATATTGTGGGGGCACTCGTTTTTCCAGCACTCTGACTCGGAGCTCGATTGATGCGAAGGAAGGTGGAGCAAAGAGCACAAAACTAGCCATCTTTGGGGTGAGTGACAGGAACAGCCGTACCATTTACAGTAGGAGGGCTGGCTGCATAGATTCTCTGATCTTCCCGACTGGCCATCGACTGGTCGCATTGGTGCACACTGGGCATCTACCAAGGCAATGCTGAGCCTGTCACTCTGTCACCCTGGGAATCTACCCATTCATTCTGAGAATCTACCCATTCACTCTGAGAATCTACCCATTCACTCTGAGAATCTACCCATTCACCCTGAGAATCTACCCATTCACCCTGAGAATCTGCCCATTCACCCTGAGAATCTTCCCATTCACTCTGAGAATCTATCCATACACCCTGATAATCTGTCCATTCCCTCTGAGAATCTGCCTATTCCCTCTGAGAATCTACCCATACACCTTGAGAATCTACCCATACACTGTAAGAATCTGCTCATTAACTCTGAGAATCTGCCCATTGACCTTGAGAATCTGCCCATTCACCCTGAGAATCTGCCCATAGACTCTAAAAAATGAGGACATATATCCAGAGAATGTGTTCTTCCAACTTGATAATCTGCCCATTAGCCCAGAGACTGTAAGAATCTGCTAATTTACTTTCACTCTGCTCTTTTCTTTTGGCTCCATTCATTTGGCTCTTGAAAATATATACAAAACTGGATAATGCCGCCATCTGGTGATCACTCGGAAAAAGCGCAGCTTACCAAACAGTCACACTACTAAAAGCAGCTGTCTGTCTCATAACATCTCTCTGCAAAGACTGCATGCAAAGCACATAGACAAGGAGTTCAGCTGACTTGGTCATATACGCAGAGCGACGTTTATATATTGGGCCCTATCAGAGGGTATCGCACTATTTAATCATTGTATTTCCTTCTGTTATAAACATGTGCGTAAATAGACCCATTCCATACAGCTTTTATGGCATCACGAATAACGCTCACTTCAAGGCCCAGAATTTAGAGCAGACCATAACTTGATATGATGTGGCGACAATTCGGATGCCTCCTGTGGTTATATCTGAAAATGTATAGTAAGTGATGTTGCTATGAAAGTAGGCATTTACAAAACATATAATTATCTCATTTATAAACAAAATTACTTAGTGACCATTTAGCTAATACAATGTACAAATCTACTATTGATCTCGTTATAAAGTGCCGTAGACATATCTCAGAATAAATTCACTCTCTTTTTGTAAAAAAAAATTTTTTTTTTTTGAATGACAGACATTACGGAGTAAAGAATATGGTACGAGGTAGGGATGTGCATGGGCCAAATATTTGGTTCGGTTTGGCAATTCCCTAACCTTACCCCTGACCCTACCCATACCCCATAACCCTATATATATTTTAGGTGAATAAATTAGCATAATTAAACAATAAAAGTAAGTGTAATGCTTCATATTTGCAGGAATCTATTGTTACTCATATAAGTAAAACAAAGCGCCAGCATTCACGAGCCAATTTGTTTTTATATATAAAACGAAAATAAAGCTATCAATCGTCAGCTCGAGCCTGTTTCTCTCTGTATTCGATAGAGTAAAAAGATAAATAGAAGAGGAGAAACACGAAGATACAGGGTCGCCGTCCGATGCGTAGTCATGTGTGAATGTCGAATAAACTCTCTTTTTTTTAAATAAATGTTTTATTGAAGTTTTGTAGAAATAAGACACGCACATGGATTTAGCAAGCATCGCCAATCAACAAAACAAGAAGAGGTAAAAAGAATTAAAAAAATGAATGAAGCAATATTTCCAATATTGTCTTCCACTACCAGCTGATTGATGCAGATGAGCAGTAAAGTGTTCCAGGTAAATATATACCAAAGATTGGCTGTGACTTCCAGTTACGAGATACACAATAGAGCTGTGATAATACTTAATGGTTTGAGAAGCGCTATGTCAGGGATTAGGGGCTTAGAGGTGGTGCGCAGAGTGACAATCAAATAGAACCTTGCAGGGTTTGGATCCGGGGACATTGTCAATATGCATGAAAGAAAATGACTGCCACCACATGGAGAAAAACTCGGATTTCCCATATTTGGACAGATTCTGTGATTTTTAACCAGATCAAGGTGTCAGTGGGCCAAGCTCGATAAACTCTCTGTAAATGGTTTATGTCTGAAGGATCAATAGCCTGCAGGGGAGTAGCCACTTGATTCCATATTTTTCCTGCCTAGTTTGGCAGACAATCTCGGAGGATTCCAGGGAGATCTGGTGAATCCACAAACTGCTTTAGTTAAGTTTCTCTATGGGGTTGGATCTGGGATTCTGCAACATAGCTCATATAAACTAACAGCACCATAACCACTGCAATAGTTCCTATAAACTCACAGCACCATAACCACTGCAATCTCTCCTATAAACTCACAACACCATAACCACTGCAATAGCTCCTATAAACTCACAGTAGCATAACCACTGCAATAGCTCCTATAAACTCACAGCACCACAACCACTGCAATAGCTCCTATAAACTCACAGCACCATAACCACTGCAATAGCTCCTATAAACTCACAGCACCATAACCACTGCAATAGCTCCTATAAACTAACAGCACCACAACCACAGCAATAGCTACTATAAACTCACAGCACCACAACCACTGCAATAGCTCCTATAAACTCACAGCACCATAACCACTGCAATAGCTCCTATAAACTCACAGCACCATAACCACTGCAATAGCGCCTATAAACTCACAGCACCATAACCACTGCAATAGCGCCTATAAACTCACAGCACCATAACCACTGCAATAGCGCCTATAAACTCACAACACCATAACCACTGCAATAGCTCCTATAAACTCACAACACCATAACCACTGCAATAGCTTCTATAAACTCACAGCACCATAACCACTGCAATAGCGCCTATAAACTCACAGCACCATAACCACTGCAATAGCTCCTATAAACTCACAACACCGTAACCACTGCAATAGCTCCTATAAACTCACAGTACCATAACCACTGCAATAGCTCCTATAAACTCACAGCACCATAACCACTGCAATAGCTCCTATAAACTCACAGCACCATAACCACTGCAATAGCTCCTATAAACTCACAGCACCATAACCACTGCAATAGCTCCTATAAACTCACAGCACCATAACCACTGCAATAGCTCCTATAAACTCACAGCACCACAACCACTGCAATAGCGCCTATAAACTCACAGCACCATAACCACTGCAATAGCTCCTATAAACTCACAGCACCACAACCACTGCAATCTCTCCTATAAACTCACAGCACCATAACCACTGCAATAGCTCCTATAAACTCACAGCACCATTACTACTGCAATAGCTCCTATAAACTCACAGCACCATAACCACTGCAATAGCTTCTATAAACTCACAGCACCATAACCACTGCAATAGCTCCTATAAACTCACAACACCACAACCACTGCAATAGCTCCTTTAAACTCACAACACCATAACCACTGCAATAGCTTCTATAAACTCACAGAACCATAACCACTGCAATCTCTCCTATAAACTCACAACACCATAACCACTGCAATAGCTTCTATAAACTCACAGCACCATAACCACTGCAATAGCTCCTATAAACTCACAGCACCATAACCACTGCAATAGCGCCTATAAACTCACAGCACCATAACCACTGCAATAGCTCCTATAAACTCACAACACCATAACCACTGCAATAGCTCCTATAAACTCACAGCACCATAACCACTGCAATAGCTCCTATAAACTCACAGCACCACAACCACTGCAATAGCTCCTATAAACTCACAGCACCATAACCACTGCAATAGCTCCTATAAACTAACAGCACCATAACCACTGCAATAGCTCCTATAAACTCACAGCACCATAACCACTGCAATAGCTCCTATAAACTCACAGCACCACAACCACTGCAATAGCGCCTATAAACTAACAACACCACAACCACTGCAATAGCTCCTATAAACTCACAGCACCATAACCACTGCAATAGCTCCTATAAACTCCCAGCACCATAACCACTGCAATAGCTCCTATAAACTCACAGCACCATAACCACTGCAATAGCTCCTATAAACTCACAACACCACAACCACTGCAATAGCTCCTATAAACTCACAGCACCATAACCACTGCAATAGCGCCTATAAACTAACAACACCATAACCACTGCAATAGCTCCTATAAACTCACAACACCACAACCACTGCAATAGCTTCTATAAACTCACAGCACCATAACCACTGCAATAGCTCCTATAAACTCACAGCACCATAACCACTGCAATAGCTTCTATAAACTCACAGCACCACAACCACTGCAATAGTTCCTATAAACTCACAACACCATAACCACTGCAATAGCTCCTATAAACTCACAGCACCATAACCACTGCAATAGATCTAATAAACTCACAGTACCATAACCACTGCAATAGCTCCTATAAACTCACAGCACCACAACCACTGCAATAGCTCCTATAAACTCACAGCACCATAACCACTGCAATAGCTCCTATAAACTCACAACACCATAACCACTGCAATAGCTCCTATAAACTCACAGCACCATAACCACTGCAATAGCTCCAATAAACTCACAGTACCATAACCACTGCAATAGCTCCTATAAACTCACAGCACCATAACCACTGCAATAGCTCCTATAAACTCACAGCACCATAACCACTGCAATAGCTCCTATAAACTCACAGCACCATAACCACTGCAATAGCTCCTATAAACTCACAGCACCATAACCACTGCAATAGCTCCTATAAACTCACAGCACCATAACCACTGCAATAGCTCCTATAAACTAACAGCACCATAACCACTGCAATAGATCTAATAAACTCACAGCACCACAATCACTGCAATAAGCTGTAATAATACAATAAGCTGCAATGATAAAATAAGCTGTAATGATAATAAAAAAAACTGTAATAATCCAATATGCTGTAATATTACAATAAGCTGTAATAATACAATAAACTGTAATGATAATACAACAAGCTGTAATACTATAATATGCTGTAATGATATAATAAGCTGTAATAATACAAAAAGCTGTAATAAATGATAAAATAAGATGTAATGATGCAATGCAGTGGTTGTGGTGTTTTGACACTTTGTATTCCCGTGTGTGCTACAGTAATTTGCAGTAAACTCCCCAGGTCATCAATACATTGTTTGCTCGAAGAATGATCTCACCTGGAGGCGTCTGGATCTATTGTGATATTAGCTCCAGGAATTATTTGGTTTAAGCACTGTTTTTTGGCCAGACTATACTGAAAGGGCACAAACATTGGAATTAATTCACGGAAGTCGATACAGCACCCATTTTAGTAAATACGTATCTATCCTTTTATTGTCAAAATCTAGGCCAAACTAGCTGATCTGAAGAAATTCTCCAACTCAGCGCAGCCTTTATCTCCCAGTTTGGGTTTCAATTCTCCATAGTTCAGTGTTTGTTGTATAAAGTGGTATCATTGTAATTACCATAAAGAGGAAAGTTAAAAATAAATCCCATTATTAGCAGTTAATTAGGTGACTCTATGAAGATACGGGGTCTATATGATCCCACACTATAAGGGGCAGAGGGTTAGGGTTGTGTTTAGGCTCAGGGGGACTTGGCATCTTTTCCTTGATGAGAATTGTGGGGATTAAATCTCCCCCTAGTTTATCAGAATCTTTTTAAAAGCAGGGGTGATTTGCAGTCTTTGGATGTGAGAGGTGTACAATAACTATCTGTAGGTGACCTATACATTATAAATGTGTGGGGTGTTCACGTAATATCTATTGGAATCTATACACTTAATATCTATAGGGGATCTGTACATTATATATGTGTGGGGTGTTTGCTTAATATCTATAAGAGATCTATACATCATAGATGTGAGGGTTATAGCCTATAAATCTATCGGGGATCCAGAATAAATAGCATTGAGGTTTGCAATCTATAAATCTATAGGGGATCCAGAATCCATAGCAGTGAAGTTTGCAATCTATAAATCTATAGGGGATCCAGAATCGATAGTAGTGAGGTTTGCAATCTATAAATCTACAGGGGATCCAGAGTTAAGAGCAGTGAGGTTTGCAATCTATAAATCTATAGGGGATCCAGAATCCATAGCAGTGAAGTTTGCAATCTATAAATCTATAGGGGATCCAGAATCGATAGTAGTGAGGTTTGCAATCTATAAATCTACAGGGGATCCAGAGTTAAGAGCAGTGAGGTTTGCAATCTATAAATCTATAGGGGATCCAGAATCCATAGCAGTGAAGTTTGCAATCTATAAATCTATAGGGGATCCAGAATCGATAGTAGTGAGGTTTGCAATCTATGTAGGACCAGAGTTACAGTGAGGTTTGCAACTATAACCATAGGGCTCTCAGAACCATATAAGTGAGGCTTGGTAACTATAAACCATAGGGATCCAGAACTACAGCAGTGAGGGTTTCCCACAAATCTATAAATCCACAGGATCCAGAACCATAAAGCAGCGACGCGCTTGCAACTATAACCCATAGGGATCCAGAATCATAGTAAAGTGAGGCTCTGCAACTATAAACTAGTAGGGGATCCAGAGTTAAGAGCAGTGAGGCCTTGCAATCCATAACCCATAGGGATCCAGAATCCATAGCAGTGAAGTTTGCAATCTATAAATCTATAGGGGATCCAGAATCGATAGTAGTGAGGTTTGCAATCTATAAATCTATAGGGGATCCAGAGTTAAGAGCAGTGAGGTTTGCAATCTATAAATCTATAGGGGTTTCAGAATCCATAGCAGTGAGGTTTGCAATCTATAAATCTACAGGGGATCCAGAATTCATAGCAGTGAGGTTTGCAATCTATAAATCTACAGGGGATCCAGAATCCATAGCAGTGAGGTTTGCACTCTATAAATCTATAAGGGAACCAGCATCCATAGCAGTGAGGTTTGCAATCTATAAATCTATAGGGGATCCAGAGTCAATAGCAGTGAGGTTTGCACTCTATAAATCTATAGGGGATCCAGAATCCATAGCAGTGAGGTTTGCAATCTATAAATCTATAGGGGATCCAGAATCTATAGCAGTGAGGTTTGCAATCTATGAATCTATAGGGGATCCAGAATCCATAGCAGTGAGGTTTGCCATCTATAAATCTATAGGGGATCCAGAATCCATAGCAGTGAGGTTTGCAATCTATAAATCTATAGGGGATCCAGCATCCATAGCAGTGGGGTTTGCAATCTATAAATCTATAGGGGATCCAGAATCCATAGCTGTGAAGTTTGCAATCTATAAATCTATAGGGGATCCAGAGTCAATAGCAGTGAGGTTTGCAATTTATAAATCTATAGGGGATCCAAAATCCACAGCAGTGATGTTTGCAATCTATAAATCTATAGGGGATCCAGAGTCAATAGCAGTGAGGTTTGCAATCTATAAATCTATAGGGGATCCAGAATCCATAGCAGTGAGGTTTGCAATTTATAAATCTATAGGGGATCCAGAATCCATAGCAGTGATGTTTGCAATCTATAAATCTATAGGGGATCCAGAGTCAATAGTAGTGAGGTTTGCAATCTATAAATCTATAGGGGATCCAGAATCCATAGCAGTGAGGTTTGCAATCTATAAATCTACAGGGGATCCAGAATCCATAGCAGTGACGTTTGCAATCTATAAATCTATAGGGGATCCAGAATCGATAGTAGTGAGGTTTGCAATCTATAAATCTATAGGGGATCCAGAGTTAAGAGCAGTGAGGTTTGCAATCTATAAATCTATAGGGGATCCAGAATCCATAGCAGTGAGGTTTGCAATCTATAAATCTATAGGGGATCCAGAATCGATAGTAGTGAGGTTTGCAATCTATAAATCTATAGGGGATCCAGAGTTAAGAGCAGTGAGGTTTGCAATCTATAAATCTATAGGGGTTTCAGAATCCATAGCAGTGAGGTTTGCAATCTATAAATCTACAGGGGATCCAGAATTCATAGCAGTGAGGTTTGCAATCTATAAATCTACAGGGGATCCAGAATCCATAGCAGTGAGGTTTGCACTCTATAAATCTATAAGGGAACCAGCATCCATAGCAGTGAGGTTTGCAATCTATAAATCTATAGGGGATCCAGAGTCAATAGCAGTGAGGTTTGCACTCTATAAATCTATAGGGGATCCAGAATCCATAGCAGTGAGGTTTGCAATCTATAAATCTATAGGGGATCCAGAATCCATAGCAGTGAGGTTTGCAATCTATGAATCTATAGGGGATCCAGAATCCATAGCAGTGAGGTTTGCCATCTATAAATCTATAGGGGATCCAGAATCCATAGCAGTGAGGTTTGCAATCTATAAATCTATAGGGGATCCAGCATCCATAGCAGTGGGGTTTGCAATCTATAAATCTATAGGGGATCCAGAATCCATAGCTGTGAAGTTTGCAATCTATAAATCTATAGGGGATCCAGAGTCAATAGCAGTGAGGTTTGCAATTTATAAATCTATAGGGGATCCAAAATCCACAGCAGTGATGTTTGCAATCTATAAATCTATAGGGGATCCAGAGTCAATAGCAGTGAGGTTTGCAATCTATAAATCTATAGGGGATCCAGAATCCATAGCAGTGAGGTTTGCAATTTATAAATCTATAGGGGATCCAGAATCCATAGCAGTGATGTTTGCAATCTATAAATCTATAGGGGATCCAGAGTCAATAGTAGTGAGGTTTGCAATCTATAAATCTATAGGGGATCCAGAATCCATAGCAGTGATGTTTGCAATCTATAAATCTATAGGGGATCCAGAGTCAATAGCAGTGAGGTTTGCAATCTATAAATCTATAGGGGATCCAGAATCCATAGCAGTGACATTTGCAATCCATAAATCTATAGGGGATCCAGAGTCAATAGCAGTGAGGTTTGCAATTTATAAATCTATAGGGGATCCAGAATCCATAGCAGTGATGTTTGCAATCTATAAATCTATAGGGATCCAGAGTCAATAGTAGTGAGGTTTGCAATCTATAAATCTATGGGGGATCCAGAATCCATAGCAGTGACGTTTGCAATCTATAAATCTATAGGTGATCCAGAATCGATAGTAGTGAGGTTGGATATCTATAAATCTATAGAGGATCCAGAATCGATAGTAGTGAGGTTGGCAATCTATAAATCTACAGGGGACCCAGAATCTAAAGCAGTGAGGTTTGCAATCTATAAATCTATAGGGGATCCAGAATCCATAGCAGTGAGGTTTTCAATCTACAAATCTATAGGGGATCCAGAGTCAATAGCAGTGAGGTTTGCAATCTACAGGGGATCCAGAATCGATAGCAGTGAGGTTTGCACTCTATAAATCTATAGGGGATCCAGAATCCATAGCAGTGAGGTTTGCAATCTATAAATCTATAGGGGATCCAGAATCCATAGCAGTGAGGTTTGCACTCTATAAATCTATGGGGGATCCAGAGTCAATAGCAGTGAGGTTTGCACTCTATAAATCTATAGGGGATCCAGAATCCATAGCAGTGAGGTTTGCACTCTATAAATCTATAGGGGATCCAGAATCCATAGCAGTGACGTTTGCACTCTATAAATCTATGGGGGATCCAGAGTCAATAGCAGTGAGGTTTGCACTCTATAAATCTACAGGGGATCCAGAATCCATAGCAGTGAGGTTTGCAATCTATAAATCTACAGGGGATCCAGAATCCATAGCAGTGACGTTTGCAATCTATAAATCTATAGGGGATCCAGAATCCATAGCAGTGAGGTTTGCACTCTATAAATCTATAGGGGATCCAGAATCCATAGCAGTGAGGTTTGCAATCTATAAATCTATAGGGGATCCAGAATCCATAGCAGTGAGGTTTGCAATCTATAAATCTAGAGGGGATCCAGAATCCATAGCAGTGAGGTTTGCACTCTATAAATCTATAGGGGATCCAGAATCCATAGCAGTGAGGTTTGCACTCTATAAATTTATAGGGGATCCAGAGTCAATAGCAGTGAGGTTTGCAATCTATAAATTTATAGGGGATCCAGAATCCATAGCAGTGAGGTTTGCAATCTATAAATCTATAGGGGATCCAGCATCCATAGCAGTGAGGTTTACAATCTATAAATCTATAGGGGATCCAGCATCCATAGCAGTGAGGTTTACAATCTATAAGGGATCCAGCATCCATAGCAGTGAGGTTTATACATTGTATCTTTAGGAGATCCAACGAGCTGAGCTGTGACGATTACTCACTGTATCGATAGGGGCCTCATATTGTATTGTGGATCCATATGCTTTGAGGTTTACACACAGTCTATAGGGGACCGCCCTATATACCTATAATGGTACATCTCTTGTTGTGAAGATTGTTTATATATGATTTATACTTTACTTTGTTAACCTCTGTGTGTCCAGATCTGATTGCAGACTGAGCAACACACACTAAGCTGGCTAAGAGAGAGCAAGTAATTCTCTCCCTCTGGGCTTCATGTTACCCCTGGGGAGCTGTATGAGGACACAGATGTATATTGAATTCTTGGCAGGAGATATAGGCGATTACATGATAAGCCCATATCGGTTCCAGCTCTTCTCCCAGTGCTGGGAGCCTGACACATGGTTTCTATATCTATCTATATATCTCATTAAACACCCAGCCACACAGGTATCATTTCACTATAGGGGACAAGGTGACCTCCCTATAAGTAAGGAAAGGTGTTAGAATACATCTGATACGTTGTAACAGCTGCTCTCTGGACACCTATCTTACCCCCTACCCCTTTTCCCACAATAGACAGTAAAATATGTATTGCCAAAGTAATACATTGGGGTGTAAAGTGGGTTTTTGGATAATTGACATATTATGCCTAAATGCTAGTTTTGGAGAATAATCTGAGCTGGAAAGTTTGTATTAAGGACCAAAATTCACAAGTGTCGGGTCAATATTCCACAATTAGCACTTTAGAGAATAAGCCCCTTTATTAAATATAATTAAATGAGGTTTTCTATCCTCTATACTGCATGTAAGATTACATTTGGTATTTTTTGGCTCTTTAGTCTATCTCTCTTCTCCTCCTTACAACGTTTGACCAAATAATTTTCATTTACCTGTGTTTTCAATCCTTCTTTCCCTCCATTTTTCACTTTATTTGTAACTCTTTCCCTCCCCCTACTTTTAATAGAGGGGGCTCTTTTATCCTCATCCTTTTAACCCCTCTACTTCCACTTTTCCCCCTCTCCCCAGTGTAACCCCTTTACTTCCATGTCTTCCCCCTCTCCCCTTTATACCCTCTATTTCCGCCTCTTCCCCCCTCTCCCCAGTAAACCCCCTCTACTTCCACTTCTCCCCCCTCTCCCCAGTGTAACCCCCTCTACTTCACTTATCCCCCTCTCCCCAGTGTAACCTCTCTACTTCCACTTCCCCCCTCTCCCCAGTGTAACCCCCTCTACTTCCACTTCTCCCCCCTCTCCCCAGTGTAACCTCTCTACTTCCATGTCTTCTCCCCTCTCCCCAGTGTAACCTCTCTACTTCCACTTCCCCCCTCTCCCCAGTGTAACTCTCTCTACTTCCACTTGTCCACCCTCTCCCCAGTGTAACCTCTCTACTTTCCCCTCTCCCCAGTGATCCCACTCTACTTCCACTTCTCCCTCTCTCCCCCGTAAAACCCCTCTACTTCTGCCTCTTCTCCCCCCGCCAGTGTAACCCCTTCACTTCCATGTCTTCCTCCCTCTCCCCAGTGTAACCCCCTCTACTTCCACTTCTCCCCCTCTCCCCAGTGATCCCCTCTGCTTCCACTTCTCCCCCCCTCCCCATTGTAACCCCTCTACTTCCACTTCTGCCCCCTCTCCCCAGTGTAACACTTCCATGTTTTTTCCCCTCTCCCCAGTGTAACCCCTCTACTTCCACCTCTCCCCATTGTACCCTCTCCTCCTTCACTTCTCCCCTTCTATTCTCTCCCCTCCTTCTCTCTTCTTCAGTTTTACCCACTGTGTCTGCCACAATCTCCCCTCTTCCCCCCTTTTTTTCTGAACCCCCTCTATTCGTGCCCTCTTCCTTAATTCTCCCCTCTCCTCCCTCTGTATTCCTCTCATTCTGAGTATTAGTCTCTCAGCCGTTTAATGTTCATCCTCTCCTCCTCCCTCTGGTTTTCTCATTCTGTCCATCCCTCCCTCTGCCTCCTCCACGCCCCCCCCCCGATCCCGGTACCGCATTGCTGTGCTGCAGGGGTGACTGCATTGCGCTGGGGCCGTCAATAGGTGGACCCCTCCCGGAGAAATAAAACAGCCTGTGTGGGTACCGGCAGCCCCTGCTGTCTGAGAACCCAGCTACCAGGTAAGAGCTCCCTGCCTGCTTCTCCATGCCCACACCGCCCTAATGGGGACAATTCACCTGGTGCCCCTGCCCTTCCCATAAACCCCCTGCTGTCACCATGTACCCCTGTCCTTCCCATATACCCTGTGCTGTCACCATGTACCCCCTGTCCTTCCCATGTACCCCCTGCTGTCACCATGTACCCCCTGTCCTTCCTATATACCCCCTGCTGTCACCATGTACCCCTGTCTTTCCCATGTACCCCCTGTCCTTCCCATACACCCTCTACTGTCATCATGTACCCCCTGTCCTTCCCATGTACCCCCTGCTGTCACCATGCACCCCCTGTCCTTCCTATATAACCCCTGCTGTCACCATGTACCCCCTGTCCTTCCCATATACCCCCTGCTGTCACCATGCATCCCCTGTCCTTTCCATGTACCCCCTGATGTTACCATGTCCCCCCTGCCCTTCCCATGTACTCTCTGCTGTTACCATATACCCCCTTCCCTTCCCATGTGCCCCCTGCTGTAACTATGTACCCCCTGCTGTAACCATGTACCCCTGCCCTTCCCATGTACCCCCTGCTGTTAACATGTACCCCCTGCTGTAACCATGTACTCCCTGCTGTAACCACGAAACCCCTGTCCTTCCCATGTACCCCCTGAGGTAACCATATACCCCTGCCCTTACCATATACCCCCTGCTATTATCATGTAACCATGTACCCCTTGCCTTTATCATGTACCCCTTGCCCTTACATGTACCCCTGCTGTCACCATGTACCCCCTAATGTTACCATATACATCCACCCCTTACATGTACCCCCTGCTGTTACCGTATACCACCTGCCCTTCTTATGTACCCCATGCCCTAATCATATATGCCCTGCCAAGCCTGTATTACCCTTAGCTAACTCATCTCCCTCCTGCCCAGCCTGCAGCTATCACCCTCAGCCCTGCTCCCTCTGCAGCTATCACCCTCAGCCCTGCAGCTATCACCCTCAGCCCTGCTCCCTCTGCAGCTATCACCCTCAGCCCTGCTCCCTCTGCAGCTATCACCCTCAGCCCATCTCCCTCTGCAGCTATCACCCTCAGCCCTGCCCCCTCTGCAGCTATCACCCTCAGCCCTGCTCCCTCTGTAGCTATCACCCTCAGCCCTGCTCCCTCTGCAGCTATCACCCTCAGCCCTGCTCCCTCTGCAGCTATCACCCTCAGCCCTGCAGCTATCACCCCCAGTCAGTCCTGCAGCATCACTTAGTGACAGAAATAGTTTCCTGCGCAACAGCTACACAGTGATGTTTATACAATGCATTTGCAACAACTCCCCCCCAATCCCCTCCACCAAAAAAAAAAAAAATTGAGCAGGGAGATTTAAGCTGGAGGGGCGAGTGGTTGTGGGGCGAGGGGTAGAGGATTGTTTTTACCTGCAGTGGGAATTTTAGTCTTTGCTTTCTCTGTTTGTATTTGTTTCTCTGTTCCAGAAAAATACTTCATGAAGCCTCAGAAAGACAGGCAACATACAGACAGAAAGACAGACAAATACAGCACAAGCACAGACAGACAGGCAGGCAGACATATACGACAATAAGCAAAACACAGACAAGCAGACCGACGGATAAACAGAACACCAGCAGACAAACAGATAAATATAGAATCAGGCAATGAAGAGACAGGAGATGGAGAGACAGATAGATACAGGATCAGACGACAGACAAACAGCTCTGTATACAGCACAAGCACACACAAATAGACTGGTAAAGACAGCTAAACGTAGGAGGGAATGGACAGACAGACAGATAAAGACAGAACCAGGGGACAGACAGACATTACAACATGAAGATAGCTGGGTGTACAATATAGATAGACATAAAAAGGTAGTGTGAAATGAAGTGTATAGAAACATATTATAGACATAAACAGAGTATATACAAACAGTCAAAAAAAGTATCAGAATATATAGACTCATGGCTATATACAGGAACGGGGTATATAGATACACACAGCTATATACAGGATCAGGCTATACAGAGACACACAGCTATATACAGGACCGAGGTATATAGAGACACAGCTATATACAGGACCAGGGTATATAGAGACACAGCTATATACAGGACCAGGGTATATAGAGACACACTGCTATAGACAGGACCAGGTTATATGGAGACACACAGCTATATACAGGAACTGGGTATATAGAGGCACACAGCTATATGCAGGCCCGGGGGTATATAGAGACAGACAGCTATATACAGGACCAGGGTATATAGAGACACACAAATATATACAGGACCGGGGTATATAGAGACACACAGCTATATACAGGACCTGGTTATATGGAGACACACAGCTATATACAGGAACGGGGTATATAGAGACACACAGCTATATACAGGACCAGGCTATATAGAGACAAACAGCTATATACAGGACTGGGGGTATATAGAGACAGACAGCTATATACAGGACCAGTGTATATAGAGGCACACAGCTATATGCAGGACCAGGCTATATAGAGACACACAGCTATATATAGGACCGGGGTATATAGAGACACACAGCTATATACAGGACCAGAGTATATAGAGACACACAACTATATACAGGACCGGGGTATATAGAGACACACAACTATATACAGGGCCAGAGTATATAGAGACACACAACTATATACAGGGCCAGAGTATATAGAGACACACAGCTATATACAGGACCTGGGTATATAGAGACACACAGCTATATACAGGGCCAGAGTATATAGAGACACACAGCTATATACAGGACCTGGGTATATAGAGACACACAGCTATATACAGGACCAGAGTATATAGAGACACACAGCTATATACAGGACCAGAGTATATAGAGACACACAGCTATATACAGGACCGGGGTATATAGAGACACAGCTATATACAGGACCTGGGTATATAGAGACACACAGCTATATGCAGGACCTGGGTATATGGAGACACACAGCTATATACAGGATCAGGGTTATAGAGACACACAGCTATATGCAGGACCTGGGTATATGGAGACACACAGCTATATGCAGGACCTGGGTATATGGAGACACACAGCTATATACTATATTAGGAGTCTGATACCTGATATTATATTTTATGGACTCGCTGTATGTCAGGAGTCAGTCAGAGTGAGACCAAGCGATATAAATGGGCATGGTCTACTTATTGCCACATGGAGGACAGACTGACTGGCATAGAGAGGCTGGCACAGACAGACAGATTGGCACAGGCCGGCTGGCACTATCCGCTAATAGCAGACAGAGTAAGTAACAGTGGAATCTGTCAGTTTCTGACCTACAGATGGGTTAAAGTTGGCATTAAATGACCCAGGACAAATCATATCCCCCTGGATTATGCAGACAGACAGATATGTACTCTTTGGGTTTGTGTCCAGGAGACACTTGTTTATACACTGTGCCATTCGCTTTACCACCCATGTACGTTCTCTTCTCTTTAACCATCTGTTGCCATCCTGCCTTTGATAGATGGGAACAAGGGCATTAAACACGTATCGAGGCCAGCGGAGCTCGCCATATGGGCTGCACCCATCGCTTATTCACCTGAGCTCAGGGCAGCCCTGGGATTTGAGAACAGTTATTCTTTCACAGTGAAAAAGGTTTAACACAGAGAAACGCAGCGTTCGACCACACTGGCAGTGATATGGTTAAACATGATAAATGAACCCTACAAATGAAGTCCTTCATTTAATATTTTTTTTAATAAGCTGTTTGCTAAACATCTAAAATGATATAATATTTTGAAAAATATTTTACAGGTTGAATTTTTTGTTGTATTGATTTTTTTTTATAAGTGAAACAGTCAAGCGGAGGCCACTGCTTCCCCCAAATATCTGTGGAATATGTAACTACAGAATAGCATAGTTATTAACTAAAGTGAGAATTTAAAACTTAAGGCCTGAGTAGTCAAACTGGAAGCAGATTTGTTCCAGTTTCGGCTATTTTGACCTTAAATTTGAAATTCGCTTTGAATTCACATTGAGTTCTAACTTCAGGGAATAAATCTGTAAGTGAAATTGGGATGTGCAGATTTTTTGAGACCCACAGAGTTCCATTGATCGCTAGATCAGAACCGACGATTCCCTCCCTGCAGACACGCGCCGTTTCATTCGTATCAGATTATGTGAAAGAAAGAAATGATGTAATTTCTAAATATAACGCAGCACAGCTCTGACAGGAGAGCAGTGGCACTATACCAACATGTATATTGATAATGAGAACGCTCCTAACATGTTCCTATCTGCTCTGCCCCTGGTAAAATCAATTTCAAAAGCTTGGTATTCTACTGTTTTCACTCCATAGACCTTCCAGGCGTGCAAGGATGACCGCAGTCACATGACTTGCGTTAACACGCCATAAATCAGTCATTTTTCCTGGGGAGGATTTTGACAGATTACACTCCCCACGATGCCTCGTCTTGCCAACATAGAAGTGACCTGAGCACTACCCCAAACCACCACGCAGGTTGAATTAATAGGAGGTTATAAGTATAACTCCAGTTCAGAGGGGGAACTAATGTAGAGAGGGCCCTGGTGCGAGAAATTATTTTGGGCCCTCTCTAGCGCAAGAGTGACCAAAAGATCGATCCCCATTGTCGTACAACTCCGACAATGCTTTTCCACTAGTGATCTACCTATTTCCCATCCTTGCAAGGTTGTATAATTGAGCAGTGTTTGTGCGTTCGAATGTAGGCATGTTTTTGTATAGAGTATGTGTGTGCGCATGTGGGAGTGTATTTGTATGTGGTATGGCATACTTGTGTGTAGTCTTTGTTTGTATGCAGTCGTGTGCTTATATGTAGTGTTGGTCGTTAAATACGTTAGCTTTTGTGTGTAGTATTGGTGTTTTAAAGAAGAGGTGTCTGTATATAATTTTAGCGTTTTAACACAGGGGTGTGTTTGTATGTAATGTTAGTGTTTCATAGCAGAGGTGTGTTTGTATGTAGTGTTGGCTTTTAAATGTGGGTGTACATTTGTGTGTAGTATTGGTGTTTGAATGAAGAGGTTTGTTTTTATATAATTTTAGCGTTTGAATGCCTGGGTGTGTGTGCGTGCTATGTTGGCGGTTGATTGCTGGGATGTATGCACATACACACATACACTGCCACATACATACTTACACAGATTTACATACATATTAGCACACTGACACACACACACACACACTGACACACACACACACACACACTAACACACAGATACACACATTGACACATACAATCAAACTCAGATAATAAGACTGACACTTTCACACTAAAACACACATACACACAGATACACAAAGACTGACACACAGACTGCCATATACACACACAGACCCTGACACACGTACAAGCTGAAAGTTGTATATTTGCAGTCACGCGATGGGCCCGCTCTGCACTGTTGGTAGTTCCGCCCCTGCTCCAAAGGCCATTAAAGTGTTAGCTCTGATGCCATGTTAAAACAAAACCTCTTAGCTGAGCCCTACACTAACAATTCACATTACATCTTTCATCTAGGTGAGACAGAGAGGGGTATTTTTGTTTGGGGGGGTGGGGTATGGGGTCTATGTATTTGGCAGAACTGTCTATTCATTGGGCATGAAATTCATCCCTACTCTGCAGGCCTATTATAATACATGGGGGGAGCTCTCCTGAATACAGAGGTTTTAGGATTCATTCATTGCAATGAAATGATTCATTACAATTTCTAAGCTAGAACAGCCTCATTATAAAAATCCTCCTAAACGCCCATTTTACTCTGCAATTCCTTATTTAGTAATAATAAAACCCTTAATCGTATTGCACACATTGAATAATGCTTTTTATGTGGATAGTATGGATATATTCCCACACCTTCGTGAAATAAATGAATATTATATATTGCCTGTTCAGCATGATTGGGTAACCCAGGGTTCTACCAATCTGTTAGAGCAGAGTCAGAGATGAGTTGGACCTTGGCTGCCCTGTCTCATGTTACAGCCCCGGTATGTTGAGCAGTTGGATGAGGAGTTGAAAGTGACTTTTTTTGCCTTTCCCGCAGATCTCTACCCCCAAAGACTTCAGAATGGGGAAAGAGAAGATACACATCAATATTGTCGTCATCGGACATGTCGACTCTGGAAAGTCCACCACCACCGGGCACCTCATCTACAAATGTGGTGGTATCGACAAGAGGACAATAGAGAAATTTGAGAAGGAGGCAGCCGAGGTAAGATTGTGTGAAACATGTAATTACTCGAAAATGAATAATCGCTGGGAATTCCATATCAAATGGACTGTAACGGGTTCTGTCTTGCCACATCTCCCCATGAAGACTGTTCTCAGGCCAATCCATGATAAGACTTCTAAAATAGTCCTCTTATGGAGAAATTCAGACCCCATACCAGTATACTATAACCACTACAAACCTTCTATCAGTATACTATAACCACTACAAACCTTCTGCCAGTATACTATAACTACTACAGACCCCATGTCAGTATACTATAACCACTACAGACCCCGTGTCAGTATACTATAACCACTACAAACCTTCTGCCAGTATACTATAACTACTACAGACCCCATGTCAGTATACTATAACCACTACAGACCCCGTGTCAGTATACTATAACCACTACAAACCTTCTGCCAGTATACTATAACTACTACAGACCCCATGTCAGTATACTATAACCACTATAGACCCCATGTCAGTATACTATAACCACTACAGACCCCGTGTCAGTATACTATAACCACTACAAACCTTCTGCCAGTATACTATAACTACTACAGACCCCATGTCAGTATACTATAATCACTACAGACCCCATGTCAGTATACTATAACCACTACAGACCCTGTGTCAGTATACTATAACCACTACAAACCTTCCATCAGTATACTATAACTACTACAGACCCCATACTTGCATGCCATAACCAATACAGACCCCATACTAATATATTAACACCAATATGTGCCTCATACCACTATCACCATTACATTTGCCTTGTTTTTGTCCATCATGTAGATGCGTGAAAACATGTTCAAGAAAACATGGTAGCCGTAGGGTGGCAAAGTCTGATATTACATGATATAGTGTGTGGAGCCAGAGATTGCAAGGTCATTATTCCACCATATTTTTCACACACACACTATCTCTTCCTCATATTGTTGGACGGTGGATGAAAAGGTCTGCCCTTGAATATGTAGAATTCATATGCTGTGAGAAGACAGTTAGCAGTGAAGGTTCTACTTGATTAATAAAAGGAGTTGAGTCCTTGAGAACATGCGTGCTACACGTCTGGTCAGTGCTTTTCATGCACAACCCTTTAGTATGTTGAAGTGATATGTGCACAGCAAAATGTGGTGGGTCTGGCAACCCGAACGGTGAGGCGGGGGTGTGGGGTGATAATGCCAGGTGTACTGAACTGGTACCTGGGACACCATCAGAATTTTTCACCCTAAAGTGGGACCCAGGCCAAACTAGCTGACATGGAAACAGGTGACCTGGAGAATTTTTCTGAATTGACAATTTTGGACTAAAACATAAAATTGACTTTGAATCCTTGGCAGTGCACAGTTTACTGGATAACCCTGTCAGTGTGTGATAATCCTACAGGACAGACTTGCAGTGATGGTGTCTAGCAGCTGAGAGCCGAGGCCTCATAGACTGCTGCCTCTGCCAGGATGTAATGAGAGCCTCCATTTTCTTTGAGCACTCAGAGGGCACGCTGTCCGCTCGGCACCACAAGACTTCCAAATGGAGCTCGGCACGAGGACGGGGGGAGCCCAGCGCAGGGCATTATTTAACCCATTATTTATCACACTGATGGGAAAATGTCCTATAATTAACAGGAAAAAGAATGTGAAATTCAAGGGAACTGGTTTAACTGATTTCACTGCAGGATTAGTCCCAAAATGATTTATTTAAAAAAATCAGATTTAATTATACAGTAAATATTCTCATTAAACCACTTGGGTGCTGGTATAAAATAAAAATAAACTAGATGCTGTCCTGCTTTGGCACCCAAACTGTTAAATAGCTGTATTTAGCTTATAATGCCTTGTACACAATTTAATAATTTGTTGTGATTAATATGAACCAATAGGGTTTATTCACTAAATCATGAATTATGGAGACTTTATGAGTGAATTGCCATTTGTAGACCGAAATAGTTTAATTAGAAAAACTCTCCAATTTGGCGTCATTTTCCAGCCTGGGTTTATTGTGTTAAAATTTGAAATCGAAATTCCCTCAGTGTTTATTGCAGAGATGGAGTACTCGAGCGGCACTGACACATGTACCTGTTTTTTTTTTGACAGATGGGGAAGGGATCCTTTAAGTACGCGTGGGTTCTGGATAAGTTAAAGGCAGAGCGGGAGAGAGGAATCACAATCGATATCTCTTTGTGGAAGTTTGAGACGACCAAATATTACATCACAATCATCGACGCCCCAGGACATCGCGACTTCATTAAGAACATGATCACCGGGACCTCACAGGTGTCAAACACAGGATTTATGGCTGTGCATGCTACCTAGATATTCCAAAACATTGCTCATATGGCACCCTTCATTGCAAAATATTCTGTGTTTACTCCATGATGAATGTCCAAGTGAGTGAGTACTCGCTACAGGTTACAGGATTCCTGTCTGTAAATTTTCACTAGTTAGGCCGTTTAGGGCGAGGGTTGAAGTATGTTTTATCTTCTCGGAAAAGATTTTAAATTTTTTAACGGAATGGTCGTTTTTTGGGGTCCCTTGTCATAGATCCAGTGTCTGTTACCTAGTGTGAGCTTAGCACAATATCTGATCATTTTGTAGAATAGTTTTTTTAAGGTTATTTATTACAATTACTGGTATTTATATGGCGCCAGCATATTCCGTAGAGTTTTACAATATTATCAAAGGGGGAGATTTAACAATAAATGAGACAATTACAAAAACTTACAGGAACAATAGGTTAAACAGGGCCCTGCTCAAACACAAAAGGACAGGAGGTAGCAATCAAACAAGGTGGGAGTGAAGCAGAGCTGGAGGAGAGAGTAAAGTGCTGCCCTTTAGGAGAGAGCAGGGGACAGGTATGTGAGGTAGAGGTTACTCTGGGAGGCCATAAGCTTTCCTAAAGAGATAGGTTTGGAGGAACTTTTTAAATTATTAAAGACTAGGAGAGAGCTTGATGGTCGTAGGCAGGCTATTCCAAAGGAAAGGTGCCACCCGTGAGAAGTCCTGCAAGCGTGAGTTGGCCGTACCGGTGCGAGCAGTGGACAGGAGAAGGTCACGGGCAGAGCGGAGAGACCGAGAAGGGGCATATCTATGGATCAGGGAAGAGATATAAGAGGGGCTAGAATTGGTCAATGCTTTATAGATGAGTTAGTACTTTGAATTGACTCCTATAGAATGCAGGAAGCCAATGTAAGGACTGACAGAGGGGAGAGGTGTGAGAGGAGCGACAGGAGAGGAAAATCAGTCTAGCTGCAGCATTTATTGTTTCTAATTAATATGTGTAAAACTAAATAATGTATATTTGGGGGTCTTCAGAACTCTTACTTAGGCCCAAATTAGAAATAAAAAGTCCTCCTTGCCTTGATTCTGTGTTTGTATTTGTCCTTATTGTAATTTGTCGAGATCCGTCTTCCTGTTGTATGAAAGACATGTCTATAAGATAAACTCTCATACACACTGTCTCCACTCCCCCTCCAGGCAGACTGTGCGGTGCTTATTGTGGCTGCCGGGGTGGGTGAATTTGAAGCCGGTATCTCGAAGAATGGGCAGACTCGTGAGCATGCCCTACTGGCCTACACCTTGGGAGTAAAACAGCTGATAGTGGGCATCAATAAAATGGACTCCACCGAGCCACCATACAGCGAGAAACGCTACGATGAAATTGTGAAAGAAGTTAGCGCTTACATCAAAAAGATCGGCTACAACCCTTCCACTGTTCCATTTGTGCCCATCTCTGGCTGGCATGGAGACAACATGCTGGAACCATCTCCCAATGTAAGTGGGAAATCAGGTCGGTAACAATAAATAAATACCTTACTTAGATAAATAATTTCTCCTTCAGACCTTGTGAGAAACTAAATACAGATTTTTTTACTTTAATCCAGTAAAAAATCTGTATCTATATATATATATAGCAAAAAGAAAGATGGAGAACTCCGAGAACGGTTAACAGCTTAGAACTCGCATGCATTAGGCCTCATTCCCAGCATTCATTTGCCGCTCGACTCTCTTCCTGATTCGCTGGTATTTTTCATCTGCACAACAGCCATCTCACTCAAACTAAAGGAACCGGCAAAAGCCCCAAAATCCTCAATCGCTTGCCGTTTGGTTATTCTCCGCTCAGGTGTCACCTCTATCAATTACATATCAGACTGATCCGAAAGGTCAGTCCAGATTCTAAAAATACAAGAGATATTGCAACCCCAGACGATCATTTCAGCCTTCTTCTGCAGAGGGAACTTACCGGCATTTTGGTTCTGGACTTCCCTTCATGGGCGGAATGAGTCTGATATGCAAATGGTTTTGATTCTCAGTTGCTGCAGCTCTCTCCTTCCAGGCAGATATCATCCCCTCTGCCTACACCGCTGCAGCTCTCTCCTTCCAGGCAGGTATCTTCCCCTCTGCCACTGCAGCTCCCCGCTTTTATGCAGATATCCACCTCAGCCTATTCCGCTGCAGCTCTTCTTCCAGGCAGGTATCCAGAGCACTGCGTATAATGTGATTATAGCAATTGCCTTTAGAAAGGCACTTGCGACTCTCAGGCCTAGCTCTTTTGATTTATCCCAGGGCTATATGGATCGTGCAGTCAGCCAATTGGTCGGTCCAAAAACTCTGTTACACTCTGTTACTGGGATCCCTAAAAATCCACACAGAATACACTTCCAAATGGAACAAAAATGCAAAGCTTTATTTTTACTAGGGACTAGCCCATATGCATTTTACATCAAGCTTGCTGTGACAAACTTAATAAAATAAAATAACCAAAACAGGTCAGAAAACATACAGGGAAATATAACAACATAATATATTTATAAAGGGTGGGGAAGACAATATTAACACAAAATATCTCTCCTGCCTGCAGAATTAACAATATGCAAATCTACATTATTATGCAAAATAACAAGCCTTGCTATTCAGGTAGTGCATACAGCTGTTGCTACCAATAGGTGGTGCTGTACAGGCTTCACAGCCAAATCCATCTAGGTGGTAGCAAGCACCAGCAGGACAGAAGAGCTCACAAAACATTTAACAAAACAATAAAACAACAATACACACCCTGCACCTATAATGGGCACAGGGTGACTTAGACATAGGAGTAATCTAGGGTCCTACATAAAGTGTCCTTATGAAACTCCAGGTGATGGTGACTACTGTCACAGCTGCTATTCACCGATCTGGTGAGGAGTTCTAGACTTCCAGCGGCTTAGTCCCAGTCTCACAAAAGGGGTTCCCAGATCTCTGGGGACAGAAGCACTCTCAAATCCCAGGTATCCTCTGATACCTCCATGCCTCCTGAAGCTTCCATTCAAACAGTTCTCTATTTGGAAGTCTGGTGAGTGAGCAATACCTGCTTAAAGATTCACCGGACCTTGGCGGAGTTCTAATTAGAGTAACAGTTCCAGAGTGTTTCAGGGTATCTCCTGGTCCAGCATTCAATGTGTGAAACAGGCTGAGGTACTCAAGTCCAGTTGGGAAGCACAGTAAGCTTCAGGGGCCCTCATACCCCTGCCCACAGAAACCCATGTCCATAGTCTGTGTGTAGGAGGCTGGCCTTCAAGCCTCTACAGAAGTCTGTGGCACGGGAGCTTCAATGCATCTCTATGAGGACATGCAATGCATCTTTATGAGCAGATGCTGATTGGCGCAGAGCAAGAACTGCTGCGCATGTACAATAACCACCCAAATGCATCCGTAAAGCTAATTAAACCTTATTTATTTAATTATGGCGGGGCGGGGGGGAGTGTTAACCTGAACATTGGAGAAAACACTCCAGCTTTAGAAATACAGGTATACAGAGTGTTCCGTTAAATTTATGATATTTTTAGGATAGGGAATAAGTAGGGCTTGCTTCTTCATACACTCCTGCAAGTGTGCACTCTTGTGAGTATAAATGAAAGAACCCGACAGAAGGATTTTGTCCTAGAAAGCACTTTACCGGAGTTAAATGTTCCACAACCCCCTTCTTTAATCTCCATTTAGATGTGTGTGCCCCTGACTCATCAGAAAGACTCTGGCAGGTCTAGGACATTCCTTGCTCATCAGATCCCATAAAGTCAGTTATAAAAAGACAGAGGCTCGGTGCCAGCAGGACCGTTCTGGAAGTCAGGCCCCCCAGACAACCAAACATGGGCTTTATTTCTGCCTCCTCTCAATGGGTTTTAATAGATTCTTACTTCATAAGAGGCCGGAACGTCGATATATTCCTGGAAACTGGTGGGGTATGAGTTGTTTTATTCATACCTTTTGTGATCAGAGTTTTAACTCAAAATAAACCATTAACGTCTATATAGTGCATTGCAGTACAGGGTCCACCTCTCGATATAATCTGTATATAGTGATACTTTACAATACAGCCATATATATGGTGATTATAATATATATATCTGACTCTGTAACGAAGATCGGGTTATAATGAGTGATACTATCTGTACACCTGTATGTAGGATGTTTATAATATGTGTCTGTATTGTAACAAAGATCGGGATGGACTGAGTAATACTATGTGTACTCCTGTATATAGGAAATTAATAAAAATATAGGATGATATAGTGCTATAGTGAGCTGTATCCTAGCTTGCACTTGGCCCTTCATATTTCAATTTGCTCCAACTCACAGTTTAGTGAATAAGGCCCAGCTCAGGGAGACTCTCCATCTTACACAGTAAATCATTCTCTCGTCCCGTAGATGCCGTGGTTTAAAGGATGGAAGGTGGAGAGGAAAGAAGGAAATGCCAACGGCGTTTCACTGCTAGAGGCGCTCGATACCATCCTTCCACCAACTCGCCCAACAGACAAACCTCTGCGACTTCCCCTGCAGGATGTCTACAAAATTGGTGGTAAGGTCCACGTGCTGGTTATTTGCAGCTTCTGTAGAACCTCTACTTATAGTTCTTATTTATATTGTAGTCCTGGTTCATGTTTCATTTTTGGAGATCAGTTTATCTGTGCCACAATGCCAATGACACAATTTGCATTTTATAAGCGCTTCATGACAGAGTCTAAGAAAAATGCTATGGAATAAATACGTAGATAAAATGATGATTATGATATTGTACCTTTTCACAAGTCTGGGCCTGATGGCTGGATTTAGGATTGCTCAAGCAAGAATGGAATTTTGTAAAGCAAGCTCTTTTTAGAGTAGAGGGCTGCCGGGGTCTTTTTATTTTAGTTTCTCACTAAAATGGCGCAAAACTGCTTAAAATAATGTCAAATTGGTTAAAAGAAAAAAAAAGAGAGAATTTTCATTTGTTGTATGAAAAAAACCTACAAAAACCATGAACATTATGGGGATACCAGCAGACGCCATAAAGCCCGACACATTGATATAACCAAGACAACGTGAACCGGGTAAGCCGTAACTAGACAGACCAGCGGGCCTGGCAATATCTCTAGCCGTGACTTTTAAGGGGGCTGAAGATGCCAGAAATGGCTGGCATGGGGCAGCATTCTGCAGTATCTCCCAATGTAAGATCACTCAGACAAGGTTGGGAACACGTATGAACTAGACTTCAGAAGAGTATGCTTGTGACATTGAACGAGTCATCCAATATTATTCATATTCACTTTCTATTTGAGGAATATGATTGCCAACTATAAATTTAGTGTAGAAGATCACCAGAGTGGTTTTAGCTACTACGCTAAGAGTTGGAGAGGAAGGGCAATGGATTAGAGGTGAGCTCTCATGGGACATGTAGTTTAGTGATGTTTGAGGTGAGCTCTCTTCATGGGACATGTAGTTTAGTGATGTTTGAGGTGAGCTATCTTCATGGGACATGTAGTTTAGTGATGTCCGAGATGAGCTATCTTGGGACATGTAGTTTAGTGATGTCCGAGATGAGCTATCTTGGGACATGTAGTTTAGTGATGTTTGAGGGGAGCTAACATAGCGCATGTAGTTTAATGATGTCCGAGATGAGCTAACATGGCGCATGTAGTTTAGTGATGTTTGAGGTGGGCTATCATAGGACATGTAGTTTAGTGATGTTTGAGGTAAGCTATCATGGGACATGTAGTTTAGTGATGTTTGAGGTGAGCTATAATGAGACATGTAGTTTAGTGATGTTTGAGGTGAGCTATCATGGGGCATGTAGCTTAGTGATGTTTGAGGTGAGCTATCATAGGACATGTAGCTTAGTGATGTTTGAGGTGAGCTCTCTTCATGGGACATGTAGTTTAGTGAGGCTTGAGGTGAGCTATCATGGGACATGTAGTTTAGTGATGTTTGAGGTGAGCTCTCTTCATGGGACACATGTAGTTTAGTGATGTTTGAGGTGAGCTATCTTCATGGGACATGTAGTTTAGTGATGTCCGAGATGAGCTATCTTGGGACATGTAGTTTAGTGATGTTTGAGGGGAGCTAACATAGCGCATGTAGTTTAATGATGTTTGAGGTGATTCATTATGGGACATGTAGTTTAATGATGTTTGAGGTAGGCTATCATGGGATATGTAGTTTAGGGATGTTCAAGGTGACCTATCGTAGGACACGTAGTTTAGTGATGTTTGAGGTGAGCTATCTTCATGGGACATGTAGTTTAGTGATGTCCGAGATGAGCTATAATGAGACATGTAGTTAAGTGATGTTTGAGGTGAGCTATCATGGGGCATGTAGCTTAGTGATGTTTGAGGTGAGCTATCATAGGACATGTAGCTTAGTGATGTTTGAGGTGAGCTATCATGGGGCATGTAGTTTAGTGATGTTTGAGGTAAGCTATCATGGGACATGTAGCTTAGTGATGTTTGAGGTGAGCTCTCTTCATGGGACATGTAGTTTAGTGAGGTTTGAGGTGAACTATCATGGGGCATGTAGTTTAGTGATGTTTGAGGTGAGCTATCATGGGGCATGTAGTTTAGTGATGTTTGAGGTGAGCAGTCATGGGGTATGTAGTTTAATGATGTTTGAGGTGATTCATTATGGGACATGTAGTTTAATGATGTTTGAGGTAGGCTATCATGGGATATGTAGTTTAGGGATGTTCAAGGTGACCTATCGTAGGACACGTAGTTTAGTGATGTTTGAGGTGAGCTATCTTCATGGGACATGTAGTTTAGTGATGTCCGAGATGAGCTATCTTGGGACATGTAGTTTAGTGATGTCCGAGATGAGCTATCATGGGACATGTAGTTTAGTGATGTTTGAGGGGAGCTAACATAGCGCATGTAGTTTAATGATGTCCGAGATGAGCTAACATGGCGCATGTAGTTTAGTGATGTTTGAGGTGGGCTATCATAGGACATGTAGTTTAGTGATGTTTGAGGTAAGCTATCATAGGACATGTAGTTTAGTGATGTTTGAGGTGAGCTATCATGGGACATGTAGTTTAGTGATGTTTGAGGTGAGCTATCATGGGACATGTAGCTTTGTGATGTTTGAGGTGAGCTATCATGGAACATGTAGTTTAGTGATGTTTGAGGTGAGCTATCATGGGACATGTAGTTTAGTGATGTTTGAGGTGAGCTATCATGGGACATGTAGTTTAGTGATGTGTGAGGTGAGCTATCATGGGGCATGTAGTTTAGTGATGTTTGAGGTGAGCTATCATGGGACATGTAGTTTAGTGATGTTTGAGGTGAGCTATCATGGGGTATGTAGTTTAATGATGTTTGAGGTGATTCATTATGTGAGATGTAGTTTAATGATGTTTGAGGTAGGCTCCCTGGGACATGTAGTTTAATAATGTCCGAGGTGGGCTATCATGGGATATGTAGTTTAGGGATGTTCGAGGTGACCTATCGTAGGACACGTAGTTTAAGGATGTTTGAGGTGGGCTATCATGAGACATGTAGTTTAATGATGTTTGAGGTGATTCAATATGTAACATGTAGTTTAGTGATATTTGAGATGGGCTCCCTGGGACATGTGGTTTAGTGATTTTCGAGGTGAGCTATCGTTGGGCATGTAGTTTAGTGATGTTTGAGGTGAGCTATCACGGGACATGTAGTTTAGTGATGTTCAAAGTTGGCTGTCATGGGACATGTAGTTTAATAATGTCCGAGGTGGGCTATCATGGGATATGTAGTTTAGGTATGTTCGAGGCGACCTATCGTAGGACACGTAGTTTAATGATGTTTGAGGTGGGATATCATGGGACATGTAGTTTTTGTGATGTTCAAGGTTGGCTATCATGGGACATGTAGTTTAGTAATGTTTGAGGTTGGCTATCATGGGACATGTAGTTTAATAATGTCCGAGGTGGGCTTTCATCGGATATGTAGTTTAGGGATGTTCGAGGTGACCTATCGTAGGACATGTAGTTTAATGATGTTTGAGGTGATTCATTATGTGACATGTAGTTTAGTGATATCTGAGGTGGGCTCCCTGGGACATGTAGTTTAGTGATTTTCGAGGTGAGCCGTCGTTGGACATGTAGTTTAATGATGTTCAAGGTGAACTATTTTGGGACACAGAGTTTAGTGATTTTTCAATGTGAGTCATCTTGGGATATGCATTGAACTGGGAAAGTATGTATTGTTGTATTGCAAAAAGGACAACATGGTTTGAAAAATATATTTAAAAGACAGTTCCTCAGTTATCTAAACTATATTTCGTGTTGTTCTCCTTTCTTTTTTTACTTTGTCCTTTAGGAATTGGTACAGTCCCTGTGGGCCGAGTTGAGACTGGCATCCTGAGACCAGGGATGGTGGTAACGTTTGCTCCAGTGAATATCACAACAGAGGTGAAGTCTGTGGAGATGCACCATGAGGCTCTCAGCGAAGCTCTTCCCGGAGACAATGTGGGATTCAATGTCAAGAATGTTTCTGTTAAAGACATCCGCCGAGGCAACGTGTGTGGTGACAGCAAGGCCGACCCACCTCAAGAAGCTGCACAATTCACCTCACAGGTTAGAAGAAATACTTAAGTAGACTTTATGTGCTAAAACTGACCCTCTTATATATGTTTTATAAACATTTGTTACTGGTTTGTCTCTACTTTGCACTGGTATAAATAGCTTTTTAAATTTTTAACATAAATACCTTTTTTCATTGTTGAGAAACTAGAGGATCCTCGGCTGCTAGGCTGTGTTCCCATTTCCCACTAGTTCCCATTTTCCAGGCAGTCAGTGAATTATCTCAATTGATATATAATCCTGTACACAAACAGATTCTGAAAACCCAATTACTAAATAACCAATGGCCACTCTTATCTGTTCCCTTTAGGTTATCATCTTAAACCATCCTGGCCAGATCAGTGCAGGTTACTCTCCAGTGATCGATTGCCACACTGCACACATTGCCTGCAAATTTGCAGAGCTAAAGGAAAAGATCGACCGTCGATCCGGGAAGAAACTGGAAGACAATCCAAAGGCCCTAAAATCCGGAGATGCTGCCATCGTAGAGATGATTCCTGGAAAGCCAATGTGTGTAGAAAGCTTCTCACAATACCCACCTCTTGGTAAGCACTTACCTCTTTAATAGAGGACTTACTGGTTCATCATCTCCCATTAATTATGGTCCACCTTTTAACCATGTATGAACAATAATATTTAAGGCTGTGGTACTATCTTATTCCTCTTACATTAAACTCATCAAAAGACAAGAAGACTTCCTTTAACAAACCAAAACACATCTAAAGTCAGTAAGTATTATTTCAACGTGTAAATCTCTCTTACTGTCTAAGATGTCGCACAGCAGCCAGTGCTTACTGAGGAGAAGAGCTAGTTAGGTGCACCATAATTAATATTCTACATAGTGATACATTTTGGGGTTTATTTACTAAACACCTCATAGTAAAAGCTGATTTAGAAAAATGTTCCCACTTGATCGTGGCTATTTTTATCTAAAAGTTCGATATGTTATTCAATTTGCTGTCATTGGCTCTTGAATGAATAAACCACATTGACGACTGGGGTTTCACACCTAAACTTATAGGGATACAATATTTATTAATTTCTAGAGTTGACTGAGTCGAAATCTATAGGGTCAAAACATATTCAGGGGGCCTATTGTAAACTGTAATTTGAACCAATCCATTTACTATGTAAGAAGCTGCATCATATTGGACCATACCACATCTTTTGGAGGTCATGACATGAGAGATATACTTGAAGACAAAATTCAAATATTTGGGGTTGTTTTCTGATGAGGAACATATTTTGTAAAGCAATCACATTTTTAAAACCGTCATCTTAGACTTATAGGTATTTTAGACTTATAGGTGATCTTATCAAAGATCCTAAATTGTGCCTCCTGGAGGAGGTGACTTGTCAGCTAGTGGGGTAACAGAGAGAGTGTGGCAGTCTGTATGGAGCTGATATTTCTTCAATTTATCTCTCGCAGGGCGCTTTGCCGTACGGGACATGAGGCAGACGGTGGCCGTTGGCGTCATCAAAAATGTGGAGAAGAAAAGTGGTGGTGCCGGCAAAGTCACGAAATCTGCACAGAAAGCCCAGAAAGCTAGCAAATGAATCGCAGGCTCCCTGCGTCTGGTGCACAAGCCCTGCCCCACCGAGAGGGTCCGCCGCCTTCCCTTTGAAGTGCACGTCAGCCCATCTGCTTGTAAAAGCCTTTACGTTAACGACTGGATGCTCACCATTAAAGTCCAGTGGAAGTTCTTTAAGAGGAAAAGCATGCCCCCACTGTGTGACCCATAGTGTCCATTTTACCAATTAAACCGGTACCGCGTCTGTCATGTGAGACTGTCGTGGTTTATTTCAGACAGGTCGGGGAGAGTTTAATCTAATTGTGCCGGTACAGCAATGTTCCTGGAACTCTGACAGCTTTGAGCTTTAGGGACTGCTAATTTTTCAGATGCAGAGAAAGATATTAAAGGGACACTATAAGCAGGGCTCGAACGGCCTTCCTGCACTTTTTCCACAGCATGATCGCCGTTCCCGTTCCCAGTCCTGCAGGACCCAGGGCTGGCACAAGCGGCCGCCAGAGCGGGGGTGGGGGGAGCACAAATCCGAATCCCCGGCCTCTGCCGGTGGCCCTGCCTCTGGCTGGGGACTCGGGTTTCTAAACTCACCTTGCTCTCCCTGCAGCCAGTGGAGTGGGCCGGCCTCTCCTGATGATGTCAGGAGGAGGGGGCGTGACTGTCACTGCTCTTCTCCCAGGACCGCTGGGGAGTCAGGGAGAAGAGCAGAGGAAGTCACGCCCCCTCCTCCTGACATCATTAGAAGAGCCTGACTTCACTGACTGCAGGCTGCAGGCTCCAGATCCTGTCCCACCCCTCCTGGCCCAAGGTAAGCCTGAGGGAGGGGGAAAATACACTTTATTTTTTATTTTTTATCCCCTTACTCTGCCCCTGCCCCCCCTCCTAAGCTGGGGCTGTCCCCCTTAAACCCTGTCCCCCTACTCAGCCCCTGTATGTTTCCTCAGCCCCCACCCCCCCTCCTAAGCCCCTGTCCCCATCCTCAGCCCCCACCCCCCCTCCTAAGCCCCTGTCCTCCTCAGCCCCTGTCCCATCCTCAGCTCCCACCCCCCTCCTAAGCCCCCTGCCCCCTTCCTCAGCCCTGTCCCTTACTCAGCCCCCCCCCTCCTAAGCCTGCCCTCTTCCCTCAGCCCTGTCCCTTACTCAGCCCCCCCCTCCTAAGCCCCTGTCCCTCTTCCTCAGCCCCTGTCCCTTACTCAGCCCCACCCCCCCCCTCCTAAGCCCCTGCCCTCTTCCCTCAGCCCTGTCCCTTAGCCCCACCCCTCCTCCCCCTGCCCCTCTTCCTCAGCCCTGTCCCTTACTCAGCCCCCACCCCCTAAGCCCCTGCCCCTCTTCCTCAGCCCTGTCCCCTTACTCAGCCCCATCCCCCCTCCTAAGCCCTGTCCACTTCCTCAGCCCTGTCCCTTACTCAGCCCCACCCCCACTCCTAAGCCCCTGTCCCTCTTCCTCAGCCCTGTCCCTTTCCTCAGCCACTGTCCCCTTCCTCAGTCCCCTGTCCCCCTCAGCCCCTGTCCCCTTCTTCAGCCCGTCCCTTTCCTTAGTCCTTGTCCCCTCACTCAGCCACTGTCCCCCTTAGCCCTTGTCCCTTTCCTCAGTCCCTGTCCCTTTCCTCAGCCCCTGTCCCTTTCCTAAGCTCCTGCCCCTCTTCCTCAGCCCTGTCCCCCTCAGCCCCTGTCCCCTTACTCAGCCCCCGTCCCCCTCCTCAGCCCCTGTCCCTTACTCAGCCCCTGTCCCCCTACTCAGCCCCTGTCCCTTTCCTAAGCTCCTGCCCCTCTTCCTCAGCCCTGTCCCCCTCAGCCCCTGTCCCCTTTCTCAGCCCCTGTCCCCCTACTCAGCCCTGTGCCCTTACTCTGCCCCTGCATACGAGTGTATAATTATTATTTTTATTTTTTGGGGGGAGGGGGATCTTGGGTGACTTCCCACACTTTTTTACCCAGGACTTGGCCCCTGACTATAAGCACCCACACTGCTTCATCTCATTGAAGTGGTCTTGGTGCAGTAGCCTTGTCACCCATAGTCCTGCAATTTAAAACATTGCAGTTTTAGAGACACTGCGATTAATTACCTTGCAGGACTAAGACTGCCTCTAGTGGCTGTTAATCAGACAGCCACTAGAAGCATTTCCTGGATGGTAGCAGACTCCAGATCGCCTAGATGATGCTGGATAGCCTCACGTAAAATCCCGATAAAGCATTGTGGCAAAGTGTTTGCGATACTTGCCGCACATGTACATTAGCCCTCCCTCCCCCCGTTCGACAAATGACATAGTGTTCGGAATACAACTTTCTATTCCTAACACTATAGGATCCCTTTAAATCTGTGAGTGTAATGCTTTTTTTTTTATAAATAGTGAATTAGAGTGACTTGCAAAATTCTGTCCAAAATGGAAAAACATTTCAGACTTGTTTACATTTACAGGTTGGCTGTTTATTTTTGTTTTTTTGGACTGAATTTGATTTTCAATTTTCAACATATTCCCTGTTTAGTGAATATCTCCACTACAGTGATTAGAATTAGATAAAGAGTTAATTTGGGCCATAAAAGCTGTAAGGTAACAGTTTAGCATGTTTAGGCCTTTCCTCAGCTACAGACCATATAATAGCTTTCCTACACTTTTAAAAAATAATTATCCATTTAAACACTATCTTATGTTCAGCATCAGCAGAGTGTTACCGTTCGGACTTTCCATGGAGTGGGGGTCCTTATTATTATCTTGCTCCGAGCTGTGAAACGGCTAATACCAACATAAAACATTGCTCACCACTGGCAACCTCCAATGTCAGATAGTATCCCCACAGAAGACCTAAGTAAAACTTGCAGAATTAGAACCATTTATAGAAGAAGCGCATTGTATTTTATGTTTTTCATACCATTTCTAAAAGATCCAGTATTTGACTATTTAATAATGCATATACAGGGCTCAAAATTCCCACTCCCTGCTAGTCATTGGCAAATTCCATTTTATCCCTAACAAGTACAATGTCACCCCTTGTGGGTATGCTGTAGCTTGCAGTGGCCAGTACAGTTTAAGGTTAGGCTAGTAGCATTGGATTTATAAATTGTAAATAAAAGCCCCGTGTGTATACATATATATTTATATATCATACAAGGTCCAAAGCACTCACTCAACTACAGTATATGATCATACATTGCATAAGCCTGCCACAACGTCAATGTACCCCTTTCTCGGCAGGTCCTACCCTAACAACCTAATGTCTGCTCTTATGAGATTAATACACTTATTTGGAAAATGCTTCCTCCTGGGACTCTCTGCAGGTCAAGGTTAAATCGGACCCTGGAATAAGGCACCTGTGACAAAAATGGGGTACAATGGCATTGTGGCAGGCTTATGCAATGTAAGATCATATACTGTAACAAAACCCTCATTATTTTTGCAGAGGCAAGGTGTTTTAAAAAAAACAAAAAACTATTACGTTCTGTGAGGTTTGAAGTTGCTATTTAGTGAAAGAGTGAGTATGCTGGATCTTATAATGTGAGTGCACCCTTATAATGTATGCATGTTCAGGTGAGTGCAGCCCCCTTGGTTTCATATATATATATATACAGGGCTTGAGTCCTGCAGGGGTGCGTTGAGGAAAAAAGCCCTTACTGGACCCTTAACTCAACCCCATACACATGCAGAGTACACCACACACACACAGTGCACACCACACACACACACCCAAACAGTACACCCTACCACACACAGTACATTCCCCCACACATAGCGCAGCACATCCCCACTCAGTACACCCCCTATACATACATTATACCACCCCTTTACACACATTATACAGCTTATACACAAACACTACAATCCATATACACACACACAACACAAACCCAATACACAAAGCAGCCGCTAGTTGTGGATCTAGGAGATATAGTTACACAAACTATATCTCTTAGATACACACACACACAATGCAACTTCAATACATAGACACACACAACACACGCACATGACAGCTAATGCCAACACACACACACACAATCTCTACAACCCTATACATGCACACACACTATAGCACCAAGCTACACCTAGCACACCTTTACACACTCCTCACTACACTCCAAACCAGTCCTTTTTACAAGCCTGGAGGATCCATGACACACTACCAGGGCTGGATTTCCACTTGCCAGATTGGAGTTTTCACTTGCCAATGGCTAGTAGAATTTGAGCCTTGCTACAAGATATCAGGAGTTCAATTTTTATCCAAGTTTCCCTTTAGAGTGGCTCTGTCACTTTTAGATCTTTGCATGGTTTGTTTAGTGTTTGGTGAATAGGAGATATACTGTACCTGAAGCTTCCCCTCACACGCACCTGCATCTTTCTTGTGGGATCCATCTACATCTCCCAGAATCCTCGTCTGACGAAAGTCCAGTCATCAGAAAGTCCAGTCATCCTCTCTTGCATGTAAAAGATCCCACAGGCCCATCCATAGAACTACTTGTGCAATGCCCAAATTGAGGTATTTCACACCAACATCACTAGTGAAGGCGGTGGGATTGACAAAACGCGTTGGCAGAATCGTGGCCTTTTGTCGAGAAATGCCAACCACAAAATAGTGCCTACGGTGTCTTCTGATATTTCATACAGATTATATCTGACATGCAGAATGAATGCAGAGAGAACCGACGTGGGATAGATACATTTCAATGCCCTGTCCAGACATTATTTTTTAAGAAAGCAGTTCTGATGTCAGTTCTATAAATCACAATATATGTTTGAAAACGATGAGCCACATACTGAAACATTAAAAAGAGTAAGTAATGACTGCTTTTATTAACTACTTTCTAAATCCTCATATCTGGAAACAGAAACATGAAATATAAGGTAGGTGATGAACATGACAGTTATTGGAGAGAAGCCCCTATGGCGTGCTGCTGAGTAACTCTAGGGGTCTCAGAGTGACTGCTGTCTCTGTGAGAGACAAATCACCAGGCACCCAAAGCACATTTATATTTCATCACTTGGTGTTGCTGGTGCGTTCCGCTGCTGGGAGCTTCGACTCTGCGTCTTGACAGACTATCTGCAGTATTTGGCTCCTAGCGGCAATCTCTGTGGGAAGGAGACTCGGCTTTCCTGGGACCCTCCATGTATTATTATTATCTAGAAACTGCGTAAACATTCTATACTCAGAATCCTCAGATAATCCCGTAATATAGAGTAAGTACGGCAAATGTCATACTACGTTATAATTGAGGCCTGTGATTATCACAGTAAAGCAAGCACTTTCTGAGGGGAAGTACAAAATATGGATCAATTGACACAGCAACCACTACAGTGACATCCCATGCCTCACCAGCATGACGGGGTGACTGATAATGGGGGTGTCTGTGCAAATCATAAACAAAATGGAGATTGGTACTTTTATTCATCGAACACCAAAATATGCTGAACTGTAAAATTCAGACTATACTGAGTGTATAACAGAGCCCCACAGTAATAATACTCCCAGTAATGTGTCTGAGTGTATAACAGAGCCCCTCAGTAATAATACTCCCAGTAATGTGACTGAGTGTATAACAGAGCTCCACAGCAATAATACTCCCAGTAATGTGTCTGAGTGTATAATGGAGCTCCACAGCAATAATACTCCCAGTAATGTGTCTGAGTGTATAACAGAGCTCCACAGCAATAATACTCCCAGTAATGTGTCTGAGTGTATAACAGAGCTCCACAGCAATAATACTCCCAGTAATGTGTCTGAGTGTATAACGGAGCTCCACAGCAATAATACTCCTAGTAATGTGTCTGAGTGTATAACGGAGCTCCACAGCAATAATACTCCTAGTAATGTGTCTGAGTGTATAACAGAGCTCCACAGCAATAATACTCCCAGTAATGTGTGTGAGTATATAACAGAGCTCCACAGCAATAATACCCCCAGTAATGTGTCTGGGTGTATAACAGAGCCCCACAGCAATAATACTCCCAGTAATGTGTGCGAGTATATAACAGAGCTCCACAGCAATAATACTTCCAGTAATGTGTCTGAGTGTATAACAGAGCTCCACAGCAATAATACTCCTAGTAATGTGTCTGAGTGTATAACAGAGCTCCACAGCAATAATACTCCCAGTAATATATCTGAATGTATAACAGAGATCCACAGCAATAATACTCCCAGTAATATATCTGAATGTATAACAGAGCTCCACAGTAATAATACTCCTAGTAATGTGTCTGAGTGTATAACGGAGCTCCATAGCAATAATACTCCCAGTAATGTGTCTGAGTGTAAACAGAGCTCCACAGCAATAATACTCCCAGTAATTTGTCTGAGTGTATAACAGAGCTCCACAGCAATAATACTCCCAGTAATGTGTCTGAGTGTGTAACAGAGCTCCACAGCAATAATACTCCCAGTAATCTGTGCGAGTGTATAACAGAGCTCCACAGCAATAATACTCCCAGTAATGTGTCTGAGTGTATAACGGAGATCCACAGCAATAATACTCCCAGTAATGTGTCTTAGTGTATAACATAGCTCCACGGCAATAATACTCCCAGTAATGTGTCTGAGTGTATAGGAGAGCTCCACAGCAATAATACTCCCAGTAATGTGTCTGGGTATATAACAGAGCTCAACAGCAATAATACTCCCAGTAATGTGTCTGAGTGTATAACAGAGCTCAGCAATAATACTCCCAGCAATAATAGCAATAATCCCAGTAATGTGTCTGAGTGTATAACAGAGCTCCACACAGCAATAATACTCCCAGGAATAATACTCCCAGCAATGTGTCTGAGTGTGTACCTGAGCTCCACCGCAATAATACTCCCATAACGTGTCTGAGTGTATAACAGAGCTCCACAGCAATAATACTCCCAGTAATGTGTCTGAGTGTATAACAGAGCTCCACAGCAATAATATTCCCAGTAATGTGTCTGAGTGTATAATAGAGCTCCACAGCAATAATACTCCCAGTAATGTGTCTGAGTGTATAACAGAGCTCCACAGCAATAATACTCCCAGTAATGTGTCTGAGTGGATAACAGAGCCCCACAGCAATAATACTCCCAGTAATGTGTCTGAGTGTATAACAGAGCTCCACAGCAATAATACTCCCAGTAATGTGTCTGAGTGTATAACAGAGCTCCACAGCAATAATACTCCCGACAATGTGTCTGAGTGTATAACAGAGCTCCACAGCAATAATACTCCCAGTAATGTGTCTGAGTGTATAACAGCACTCCGCAGCAATAATACTCCTAGTAATGTGTCTGAGTGTATAACGGAGCTCCACAGCAATAATACTCCCAGTAATGTGTCTGAGTGTATAACAGAGCTCCACAGCAATAATACTCCCAGTAATGTGTCTGATTGTATGGCAGAGCTCCACAGCAATAATACTCCCAGTAATGTGTCTGAGTGTATAACGGAGCTCCACAGCAATAATACTCCCAGTAATGTGTCTGAGTGTATAACAGAGCTCCACAGCAATAATACTCCCAGTAATGTGTCTGAGCGTGTAACAGAGCTCCACAGCAATATTACTCCCAGTAATGTGTCTGAGTGGATAACAGAGCTCCACAGCAATAATACTCCCAGTAATGTGTCTGAGTGTATAACAGAGCTCCACAGCAATAATACTCCCAGTAATGTGTCTTTAAACTACAATAAATGTGTTTAGAAATCAGTCTGTGTAATAAGATACATTGTTCTTGTTCCAAATTACATTTTAGTTCTATAAATTATTATTAGTAAGTCACCTAAAATTTCTCAGATCAGCCCCACCCCTGGTTACTCCCCCACTCACACCCCTAAAATTAAAGTGTCTCCCTACCTCCATTAGATGTTGGGGAGTACGATCTATTAATCTGTAAATAGGTACGGCGGTATTTTGTTTGTTTAGTGATGAAGAAGGCAAGTTTATATCTCAAATAATTTCAGTCTGGAGATCTCCTATCACAGCAATACCAGTTTACCCAAAATGTTTGTGAATGTGATTTCTCATTAAAAGTTGCTGAGCATGGTAGAAAATTCTAGTTTGCAAAAAGAATTGCTAGCATGCTCTGAAAACACACACACTGCAATGCAGACACTAAGAATAGCGTTTAGGCCAAACTCCTCACTTACATGTCAAAAATAAACCCCCAAAAACCACAATTTCCTCTACAGCTGTGAAATGTGCTAATCCGTTCATTAAACCAGACGTTAGCGCTAAGAGCAGGAGGACGGGGGATTGTGCTGCGCTTGCAATGCAGCATTGGGATAGGAAATTGGAGAGGAATGCAGCAGTAAATAGGACATGGGGGGGACGGGTCCTGTGTAACGCTGAGCTGTGAGAGGGCGCGTAACATGAGCACAGAGCACTCATTAATAATGCACCCTAACACAGCGCAGTCACCTCTTTCCAGCTCCAACTACCTCTCGTTTAAACAATGCGCTGTTTTAGCAGCGCTGCGATGTGATGTAATTAGCATGAAATCTGTTAAGTCCTCGTTATCTTTGTTAAGGAAATCTGCAGAGACGCCATCTAACGAGACCTATTCTAATGCGCAGAAGGGAAACGAGTAAACCGTGCAGGAGAAAGGAAAAGAATTGCAATTTTAATTTGTGGTGATGTTCTGATAAATAATATCCCTTTAATGAGGGATAAAATAAAAACGTATTCATTTCAAGGCATTTGAATTCAGTAATAGTTTAGCAATGGAGTTTCCTTTACATTTTTGAGTGTATCAATGTACCAGGTGACCTCACTGAATTGACCTGTAAAATTATGAACAAGTTTATCAAGAACAGGTCCCTTTAATTAGCGAGCGTCTGGGAGTCATGAGATTGTTGTGAGGTCATTGTGGGTGGAGCCTCGTAATGATACTGATTAATATTCTAAGCCTGATGAAGGACTCTGCGTACCATCAAACAGGGTGTACTAGCATTTCAAACGCGCAGTAATGGTGTCATTTTCAAAGGTTTTCTTGCTCTGTTTTATTGTTTATTTGTTCAAAAGTGTTTGCTTGCTGGTATAAAAAATGTATAAATGTTAAGTGATGCATGTCCCTTTAAGACTAAACTCCATCCTGTCAATCAGACATCTTCTACTCCAAGATCACTAGGTCTTGAATCAGGCATATTAAATTCTTCAGAGTATGGCTGCAAAGGGCTTTATTGATCCTAAACTCATTTATCCTAAAAGTCACAATCTGTTCGACCTTCAATAGGATCACACAGTCCTGGATCTCCCAGAGTGAGACAAATGGACAGACATGACTATCAACCTCAGCCACAGTTCACTTAGCTGCTGCAAGCGGTGTTTTGTCATCGCACTGTCCCATATTTCAGCCCACAAACGGTTTGACAAAGTTTTCCAAAAGCGGACTCAGCTCCTTTCCCAGTGACTTATCATTGCTGGCGACACAGGAGTCAATGGACATGAACAAACACTGCTCTCTCACTACTGTCATTGCTTAACGAGGTTAATGTTCTACCCCGGCCCCACCTGTGTCTCACTCTAAATCCTTTATCTTTATTGATCTGATCCATGCAGCCGGCAGCCATTAATCTATAGCATGAAGTTCTCCGTATGGCAGATAACTGACGCCACACACAGTACAGTCTCCCCTCTGCCCCACTAGCGGTATTGGTGGTGTAGTGACAGGTCTGTGTAGTGTGTACTCGCTGTGTGTACTCGCAGTTTGTACTCTCAGTGTATACTTGCAGTGTGTACTCGCACTGTATACTCGCAGTTTGTACTCTCAGTGTATAATCGCTGTGTGTACTCGCAGTTTGTACTCTCAGTGTATACTCGCTGTGT